AAATTTACTGGGAGCACCAGTCACTGTACCATCACCACAGTTATCACTGTCTGGGAGCACCAGTCACTGTACCATCACTACAGTTATCACTGTCTGGGAGCACCAGTCACTGTACCATCACTACAGTTATCACTGTCTGGGAGCACCAGTCACTGAACCATCACTACAGTTATCACTGTCTGGGAGCACTAGTCACTGTACCATCACTACAGTTATCACTGTCTGGGAGCATCAGTCACTGTACCATCGCTACAGTTATCACTGTCTGGGAGCACCAGTCACTGAACCATCACTACAGTTATCACTGTCTGGGAGCACTAGTCACTGTACCATCACTACAGTTATCACTGTCTGGGAGCACCAGTCACTGAACCATCACTACAGTTATCACTGTCTGGGAGCACCAGTCACTGAACCATCACTACAGTTATCACTGTCTGGGAGCACCAGTCACTGAACCATCACTACAGTTATTACTGTCTGGGAGCACTAGTCACTGTACCATCACTACAGTTATCACTGTCTGGGAGCACCAGTCACTGTACCATCACTACAGTTATCACTGTCTGGGAGCACCAGTCACTGTACCATCACTACAGTTATCACTGTCATCATGATAACCAGCACACAATCTCTCCTGCTGATTCTCTCTCTGGGCGTAAGTTTTTACATTTATCAATAACTAAAGTTTGATTAGTAATGTACAAAACAATTCTTAATAACTAATTAAAATGTGATTAACATCGTCCATACGGTATTAGAACTGCATTTAAAATGCTCCGAAACAAAAACAAAAATGTTAATTCAGTATCCCACCATAAGTGTCATAATTTTTTATCCCACTGTATTGGTAATATTAACTAACATGAAGGAATTTGAGTCATAGGTCATCAGCCATCAGTAAAGTCATCAGTTATAAACATAGGATATTGGTTGGGGACATTATTTTATTAGCATTTTAAAGGATATAAATAATAAAGCGCAACATAGAAAGAACATTTGTAAAATGAACAGTGTCTCACTATCACAAGAATTCCCAAGAATTCAGTGTTTGTTACCTGGACCTCAGCAATGAGAGTCGCTACTCTCACCGCTGGGCAACGGCGACCAAGAAACACTGTAGCAAGCCTATTGGTTCTCGCTAGGCTTGTTCACATGGCCTTCCTCCCACACTCACTCGTGCACCAATCTAACTTGTATTTAAAATGTACCCAAAATACTTGCCTTAACGACGATACTGCCAAATCATTCCTTTCCTTTATCTTTCTAAATGTTAATTTCTCCAACTTCAATCCATTGTTGCTAATCCTGTCTTGGTTAGATATTCATGACTCACTATTTGTATCACTGTTTTCTCCTGGTTTCTCCATTTTTTTCACTTCAAAACACAAATAATCTGTGCATAGGAGAGAGGAGCTTACAACGATGTTTCAGTAAGACATGGTCGACGTCGGACCGATACGTCGTCGTAAGCTCCTCTGTCCTATGTGTGTGTTATTTGTGTATGTTCCAGTTACGGTATTGTGCAGTTTTGTTCTTCATTTCAATTTTATGTCTCCTAATTCTACGCCTTTCCAGAGAGAGGACAGTTAGTGCCTTCAACTTGTTTTTGTATGAAAGGTTTCTGTTATGTGGAACCAACTTTATTACCATCCTTTTCTGTATGTTTCTCTGGTGCATTTATGTTCTTTTTTTTAATATGGCACAATTGTGCAGCATAAACTAAATAAAGCCTGACCACGGATATATGAAACTGAAGTTTAACATTAGAGCTTCTTGTATTGATGCTTCTTAATATGAAGCCATCAATCCTGCATGATAATTTGTAAACACTTTTTGAACAACTGTTGTCTCAGCTTTAAATTTCTTCTAACCAGTACTCCAAAACTCGTCGCATTAACTTTCACTAAGATCTAGAGTGCATTATTTAACTTTAACGTGCCATAGCTATTTCCCATTTCTAGGATTAAATTCTTACACTTATCTGTAGTGAACTTCAGCCACTTGTGCGACCTTAACTGGTGTTCTCACCAACAATTTAACTTTCCTTTCTATATTTCTTGTGAGAGTCAGAGAACATTAAAAATGCCAAGTTAATTCTCTCATTGTTGGCAGGTGAGACTGAGCGTGGAGGTGTGTGCCCCAGACTGCTCAGGTGTGGACCCAGGCATCAGTGTGAGGGACCCCACTGACTGTACCAGATATTACGTCTGCCTCAGTATCAACGGTACGAAGCTGAACTCTCAATAATAATTTTCGATGTTTGCAATATATAGTCTCCTTCTAGAGACTAATTTCTCTGATTCGAGAAATTACCTCTCATTCCCCAAGCTCAGTATAAGCCCTAACGGGTTTAGTGCTTCCCTGTGAACATAATAATAATAACTCAAGCTACTTTATAATAAGCAAACAACTACGGTAGAGTGAAATATAACTATAATATATCATCATCACGACCCGGGGACATGGGACATGTTGATGGTTACAAGAGTATGTCTGGTGAAAAAATGACACAAATGCAGTACAGTCTTCAATTGAACGTTTCACCTGTAAAATACTTGATAAAGCCCACTGGTGAGCGGAACATTGTGAAATAATGAACTCAATTGCATTCGTGTATATGTCACCAAATGTCGGCATCTTGTCACTGTCTCCACCAAAAGCAAGTCTCATGACTCGTTGCTCAGTGGAAAATATCTCTTTCTGAATCCTTAAAGAGGAGAGATGTATGGGTCGATCTCCGTATAACTTTTAAGTCTATTCTCTTGGCTGTAAATGTTGTGGGTCGCATCTTGCTGGAGATTATTACTGGATTCAATAAATAACAAAAAAAGGCACAATACCATGACTGGAGCAATACACAAATAACCGCACATAGAAGAGAGAAGCTTACGACGTAAGCTTCTCTCTTCTATGTGCGGGTTATTTGTGTGCTGGATTCAAGGTGAGACCGCTAAACCTGTAGGGCTCATACAGCATCTGGGGGGAATGGGAGGCGTTCATCCTCAATCCTTGAATTCCCGTCATCATCAGCATCAAGAAACCTCCCTTAAAGAGAGGATCATGATCATGAAAGGATCATGAAACCTCCCTTAAAGGGAGGTTTCATGATCCTTAAAGGACCTTAAAGGAATTAAACCATATTGTTTGTGTTATTGAATCAACTCTCCTGTGTTAATAATATGAAGGAAATCTTATTGACAGTCAATTTACCTGTTACCTAAAACTTCTGAAGATGATTCCTTAAAGTGGTGCAAAATGGAACCTCTTTTCTAAGGAGGAGAAGCTACCGATTTCCTAGCATCAAATATATTACCTAGCATCAAATATGTTACCTTTGTTTAGCATTTCCCAATGAATATTATAAAAATAATTTACTAGTCACGTGTTTAGTTCTAATATGTATTGTCCTAATCTTAACTCAGGTGTGAACACACCGTCAGAGTTCCCAGTAGAGTGTCCAGACAGTCAGTACTTCAACGATGGCCACACTGTTCCTCGTTGCGACCCCATCGCGGACGCTCCTTCCGACTTCTGCTCCGACTTGTGTGATCCCTGCATCCCAGATTGTAATGGAAATAACGCTGGCACTGAACAACCCGATCCACTGTCCTGTTCTCAATTTGACGTTTGTTTGGTAGATCCTGGACATTACTTGGAGAACTTTTGCCCCTCGGACGCCCCTTATTTTGATTTCAGACATAGTGTGTGCCAGTCTGACCCAACTCTCTGCTACGGCTACTGTGATTTATGCTTGCCTCACTGTACCTATAATGGTCAGCTCGTTATAGACCCTGTAAACTGTCACGAGTTTTACCTATGCTCACCTCCAACTATGGCCCACTTCTTATGTCCCAGCAACCAGGTATTCAACAGATTGACAGGAGAATGTGAGGCCGATGCTGACTGTGAGATCCTGTGTGTCGCAAAAAACATTAACCTTTCAAGCAGTAAGACAAAATCATCCTGTTAAATATAATCACAGACCTGTTAAGCAGGGGGAAGCAAACCTCTGAAATAAAACCGGGTAATTGATACTGACAAGTGGTTAAAAAGACAAGCGAGCAAACACTAGAACATGTTTAAGATAAATTATTTCGGTCCTGAAATCTTGATCAAGGTCCCGGGACCGACTGTGTTTACTCACGTTTATTTTAAAAGCAAGAAAATTGTTTTAAACAGGATATCGGACCTTACAAAGAAGGAATTAGAAATACCTTTGTTTAACATGGGCCATCGATCTTCTGTTAAACAGGGGGTCAGAGACCATCTGTTAAACAGAGACACAAAGATCGCTCTTTCAAACAGGTGTTCACCATGACGACCAACAGGTCAGAGACTCTTTGTTAAATATTAAAGTACCAAGAATATTTGACCTAATTCATAAATATTTATTATAAAAACATGCAGTGTTGTTTATCCTGGAAACAATATGTACCTCTAAGATTATATTTTCCTTCTCGATCACTTCACAATGAAGTGAAAATTATTGACAATAGAAGCAACTATAAAAAAACTTTGGACAAAGTATCATTATAACATAGAAGTTAGAAGTCACTGCAGGAGGTCTACTGGCCCATGCTTGGCAGGTCTTACTCAAACCCAATCCTTCTCACTCATATTCAATCATCTTTTTTAAGCTACTCAAGTGATTAAACATGATTGATCTTGTGATGAATGGTTTTGAAAACCGACAAGTTGAAGATTGAGACACTTATGCACTATATGGGAATCTTTATTAAGGAAACGTTTCGCTACACATTGGCTTCATCAAAACCATTCATCACAACTGTCAGACACTGCATCATCATGGGATCTTGATACAAAGAATTCTCCAACTTGTCCTACCTTAGGACGAAGACCTACTTCGGCTAGTGGATGGTACCACTATGACCCCGCCTCCTCCTGCTTCGCCTCACCTGACTACAGTATATAAGCCACGTCTAAGGCCCTATGTGTTCACTCTTTTTAGAGCGTAGCAGACCACACTTCACGATGCACTTCTCGAACAGGGTAAAGAGCAAACCAGAGAGTGGGAAAGTCAATTACTCGTCCAAGCTAGCACTTGCAGCTGTCGTCAGTGGCAGACTGCAAGTCAAGTTTAATGCGATTCTGTCGCTCAAAGAGGCCTTCGTTGTCGTCTGTACTGACGACACCGAGGCTGAAAAACTCATTACCACCACTGCTACAGCCACTCTACGAGATCAGGGATTTATTGACTTCCCCAGCTCTGAGGGCCAGGAGAACTGTGTTCCTCAAGAGACTCGACAGGCTCATCACTGCCCATGCTACCGAAGAAATCAAGTCGTCCATTGAAGCACAGAACCCTTGGGCCAAGGTGGAATTCATTACCAAAATACCCAATGCCTCCTCCATGTTGAAGGTCACCTTCAGTGACGTCAACATGGCAGCCAGAACTCTCGCTGAGGGCTATTCACTACTTCCACATCAATCCAGCCTTCATCGAAGCAGAAAAATTCCATCAAATTCTACATACCACCAATGACTGCCCTGCCAAGAATAAGAAGTTCTGCTCCACCTGTGGCCAAGAAGGTCATGACTTCAAGACGTGCACTACTAACTCTCCATCTAAATGCTTGAACTGCAAGAATGATCACCATACTCTTGCTGCCAAGTGCCCAACCAGACGAGATATTCTTAAGAAACAACTCCAACAACAAAAAAGACCCACTGCACAAGCGACTACATATGCTGCTATTACCAAGCTTCAAGCAGATACTACCAAAATTCTTCAAGCCATGCAAGCTGCATCTACCACTTCTTCGCCAGCTCTTGCTGGCGACTCCACCAAGATTCTTTACTGCATCATGTATGTTCATGTGCAGAATGTAACTGAACCTGGTTCCTTCAACACCACCATCAACGAACCCTTCAAGCTCAACAACATGCCTGTTTTCACATTCCCTGCATCTTCACCTTCCACAGATATCATAAAATCCACTGCAAATGTCTCCAACATTACCGCTGCTCCACCGCTACCACACCTACCTCCCGACACAGAGATGGACCAATCAGAGACCACTGAGACGCCGATCGATTCCACCAATGAGAGTTCACCAGCACCTGCTTCCACCTCCGTCACAACGGACCAGTCAGACGCCTCACCTCAAACGTCTCAGCCGCCAGCCAAGAAGGTTAAAACACAAGAGCCTTGGGATGCATCCCTACGTACTACCGCCACTCCTTCACAAGAAGTCCAGATCTTGCCTGGTGTATACTTCTACACAACCAACCAGAATGAGAACGGAATGTACACTCCAGAAATTATTCAACGCCTCCACAACGGGACAGTCAAGTTCACCTGCGACTCAACTCGATCATTCACCACTGAATCCCTGATCAACCTACTCTCAAAAAGTCACCGCTTTGTGGCACTCGACTACACCCCAAGGAAGAAATTCAGGACTCTCCAGAATGGGGCTGCCGAAGACGGTACCCTCACCTAGCAGGACTGTCAATGATCAATCATCGTGAAGGCAAGTTTCCCCAGTACTTTGCTGCCTGCTAAAGCTGGGGTGTGGCTCCTAAGAGACCCTGTAATTGCTGCCTCCGCCCTCTTACGCTGCTGAAGATGCTAAACGAGAAGATACTTCCCACCTGGGGAGTCACCGCAAGACAGAAGAAGTCACCCTCCAACCGGAGGGCCCCAAGAAACAATACATAAGAAAGAAGAAGATGAACGACAACCCCCGCCCGGGAGGCCACCCCCGGGTCGCCATCTGGAGAAGACCCGCGCCGGAAGTACCGGCAAACCTACAACAACCTATGCTGTACATTCTACAAGATTGATGGACTGAACACATCGACTCCAGGCTGAGGGACTGATTACCTCAATCAGGGGATGAGATGCAGGGGATGAGATGAAAAGCTGTAAGCCTTCTCCCTGAAAGCTGGCTGCCTTGGATCAAAGTATAGCGCAAGCTGGACTCCAAGGTATTGGTCCAGTGTGGGTAGATTGGTAAAGCACAGCATACCTTGTTCCAAGGTTCGTAGGTTCGAGTCTCCTTCAGCCAGAGATCAGTGTTTATATATATATATATATATCTATAATATATATATATATATATATATATATATATATATATATATATATATATATATATATATATATATATATATATATATATATATATATATATATATATATACACATTTAACACATCGGCCGATTCCCACCAAGGCAGGGTGGCCCAAAAAAGAAAAACTTTCACCATCATTCACTCCATCACTGCCTTGCCAGAGGGATGCTTTACACTACAGTTATAAAACTGCAACATTAACTCCCCTCCTTCAGAGTGCAGACACTGTACTTCCCATCTCCAGGACTCAAGTCCGGCCTGCCGGTTTCCCTGAATCCCTTCATAAATGTTACTTTGCTCACATCAAACAGCGCGTCTTGTAATTAAAACCATTTGTCTCCATTCACTCCTATCAAATACGCTCACGCACGCTTGCTGGAAGTCCAAGCCTCTCGCACACAAAACCTACTTTACCCCCTCCCTCCAACCTTTTCTAGGCCGACCCCTACCCCGCCTTCCCTCCATTGAAGATTTACACAATCTCGAAGTCATTCTGTTTCGTTCCATTCTCTCTACATGTCCGAATCACCTCAACAACCCCTCCTCAGCCCTCAGGATAATAGTTTTGGTAATCTCACACCTTCTCCTAATTCCAAACTACGAATTCTCTGCATTATATTCACACCACACATTGCTTTCAGACATGACATCTCCAAAGCCTCCAGCCTTCTCCTCGTTGCAACATTCATCACCCATGCATTAATACTTTGCTTCCAAGGACAAAGTTCTTTGTTTCCAAAGGCTCCTAAGTGCACCGCTCACCCTTGTATATATATATATATATATATATATATATATATATATATATATATATATATATATAATATATATATATATATATATATATATAATATATATATATAATATATATATATATATACTATGCCAAGACTCACTTACTTCCTGAGGTGTGCACTCTTTTGACAACCCAACACTCGATTAATATGACGCACACCTGAGATCAACTATTAAGAAGGCACTGAACCTGTCACTAGAGGAGGAACAATGGGATCAGGCAACCCTCCCAGTGCGACTGGGAGGTATGGGGGTGCGCAACGCAACGCATTTTGCTTTACCTGCTTTTCTGTCTTCGTGTTTGGCTTCCAGTGCATTAGTCAAGAAGATAGTTCCCGAACGCTTGAGAGACGTGGTAGGAGCTCAAGACCCCAGGTTTACTGAAGCAGCGATTCGGTGGGACAACCTTACAGACTCCTCCAGTAGACCAGCTCCTCCCAATCAGCACAAACAGTCCCACTGGGACAAACCGATCATGGAAAAAATCGCCAACACAATGCTCTCCAATGCTTCAGGAAAGGACAAAGCTCGTCTCCTGGTAGTGAAGGCACCACACTCAAGAGATTTCCTGTTAGCTGTTCCCAATTCCTCCCTGGGCACCCGTCTCGACCCACAGGCCATTCGGATTGGTGTTGCTCTTCGCCTAGCCGCCCCCATCCTCACCGAACATAGATGTATTTGATGCAGGGCGACAGCTGATCAATTCGGACTTCATCGTCTCGTGTGTCACACAGCAGAAGGGAAGTATGCCAGACATGAGGAGGTCAATGACATCATAAAGAGAAGCCTCGCCACAGCGCGTTGCCCAGCTCAACAGGAACCCCAAGTACAGAGGTCTGATGGAAGACAAAAGCGTCCTGATGGTGCCACTATGCCACCCTGGAAGGATGGAAAGCAGATTGCCTGGGACTACACCTGTGCCGCCACATTGGCACACACCTACTTGCCATACTCCGTAGTGGAAGGGGGTGGAGCTGTCAGCCACAGGGAGACCCAGAAGATCCGAAAATATGAAGACCTTCCCTCTTGCTATAACTTCATCCCAATAGGGTCGGAGACCCATGGAGCATGTGGCAAGTGTGCTCTAAAGTTCCTCAAAGAGCTGGGTGAAAAGATCATCATAGAAACCAAGAACCACAGGGCGACAAGCTTCCTCTTTCAGAGACTCAGTGTTGCAATCCAGAGAGGAAATGCCTGCAGCATTCTGGGCACGCGGCCCACCGCAGGGGAGCTGGACGAAGTATTCGAGATGTAGCTCTGAGTTACCTATGTTGTTTTACTTTCTGTTGTATTTTTGTGAATGTTTGGCCAATGTATTTTATCTTTATATATATATATATATATATATATATATATATATATATATATATATATATATATATATATATATATAATATATATATATATATATATATATATATATATATATATATATATTTATAAAGATAAAAGGAAGGTATATAAAGAGTCTAGCCCACACCTCACTATCACATCCCACAACAAAGAAA